AAACAAAAACGAGTAACCTGCCACAATTTGATGAACTTTACTTATACTTATGGATGTAGTAGCTCAAAAAAGGGAACAAATTTTTACAGCAAAAGATCACTCCCACCTGCTCGGTACACAGGGTTGACAGGGATGGGCAACTTGGACATTGGCTACCCAAAATGGCGTGGGGTGGTCTATGGAGGCAAGGAGTGACTGGCTTACAAGCTTTCAAGCGGGAGCCTAGTTCCAGAAAGGGCAGTTGTAGGTAGAACCTCCAGTGAATGATTTCCAATCTGTTGGTACCGGGCTGGTGAACGGAAATGGGAATAAGACTCCTGTGTTACAATATTTAATAATTGCCTTCCGGACTGACTGTGAGGATCTTACATGTAGAGGTAGATGTTTTTTGACAAAAGGAGGGGAGTGATTGAATTTGCAGCCCAGGAGCAGAGGTCCCTGGGACCATCAAGTGAGAAGAACAGAGAGCAGGACCCTACCCAGAGAGGCAGTAACACCAGGGATGGAGACAGAGATGATGACGTAGACAGATGGAGTGGCTGGGGACACTGGACTCAGGGAGAGAGAAGGGCTGTCTGCTAATGGCCAGGGAGGTGGTGTACCCTTTGGTTATTTGATGATGCTTGGAAGGGATTGTAATCATTGCAGTGAAACAAAATACTATAGGACGAATGTAAAACTGATGTTCTCCCTTGTAAACCCATATAATTCACAATAGAAAAAAAAAGAAAAGCTAAAGAGATATGTGAATGGGAGGATATGGACCCATGTTTTATAAGTCATTTTCAACTGGCAATTAACTTGTATTAACCATTGTACAGTATATTAAAAGTGACAGTTGCTTCCAAAACAAAACAAAAACAGAAATGGTCAGGGTTCGACAATTTCAAGAGACAGCATATGTTCATGAGCAAATAGTACTAATGGAAGAAGTCTAAGATTCACTTACGGCATTGGGAAAGAACAAGGTACCTGGAATTGATGGAATACAAATTGAAATCATTCAACAAACTGATTCAGCACTGGAAGCACTCACTCATCTATGCCAAGAAATTTGGAAGACCTTATCAGCTAATTCCAAGGAGAGGTGACCCAACAGAATGCAAAAAGCATTAGACAATATCATTAATATCGCATGCAAGTAAAATTTTACTGAAGATAATACAAACACACCTGAAACTATACATTGACAACTTGCAGAGATTCAATCCAGATTCAGAAGAGGACTTCTTGTTGTTGTTAGGTGCCATCTTGTCGGTACCGACTCAGCAACCTTATGCACAGCAGAATGAAACACTGCCCAATCCTGGGCCAATGAAGGATTTCATTGCTGACGTCAGGTAGATCATGGCTGAAAGCAAAGAATACCAGAATGATGTTTATCTGTGCTTTTTTTTTTTTTTTTTGCTATGCAAAGGCTTCCAACTTTATTAATCATGACAAGCTATGGATAACATTGCAAAGAATGGGTATTCCAGAACACTTGATTGTGTTCATGAGGAACCTGTATATAAACCAAGAGGCATTCATTTGAATAGAACAAGAGGACACTGAATGGTATAAAATCAGGAAAGTGTATGCCAGAGTTGTATTTTCACTATAATTATTAAATTTGTATGCTGAGCACATAATCCAAGAAGCTGGTGTATATATATATGAAGAAAAACAAGGCTTCAGGATTGAAGAAAGACTCATTAACAATTTGCCATATGCAGATGATACAACCTTGCTTGCTGAAAGCAAAGGTGACTTAAAATGCTCACTGTTTAAGGTCAAAGGCTACAGCCTGCAGTACGGATTTCCTGCACCTCAATGTAAAGATAATAAAAATCTTCAC